GTCAACATGAAACATTAGCATATTGCCCGCCCACTTGTTGGTCTTTTCGCGTTGGTCTGAATGAAAATGCAAATTCATTCTTTGCCACTAGGTGCGCTTTTTGAGCGGTAAAAATAGCGGTTTCCCCGGTAACACTGTACACAAAGCAGCACTGCGCTCACAAACGCTGCTTTAATCAGGCATTACAGGCATGATGAAATGAAAATGAGAGCAATCGGACCAATCACCGCAGATTAGCGTCACGCAAAGGAGGAGTTTAAAAAAATGAATCGTTGAGTGAATCGTTTGGGAGTCTTGAGCAAGTAAGGTAAAAATAAATGCATATTATAAGACAATGAAAGTGTTTTTTGACCTTGCATGCATGTCAACCTGTTGTTGGGGACTCCCAAAACCAAAATATGAACCTTTCATTACCCATAATAGGGGCACTTTAAAAGTTGTCTCACCAGCATCAGGGTTGATGAAAGGATTGAATTTCAAGCTGTAACATTCTCTTTAAATCATATTTATAGACATAACTGTATTTACTATGAAATTACCAAAAGTACCTCTAGTACACACTAGTGGACCCCAATTTTATGCCTCTTTTTTTGTTCTCCATGTGTGTATGGATACTCAATGCCTTAACTATGGCTCTGTGCTATTATGCATGCACACATGCAAACATACACCCCATGCATAGAATGCAATAAACACACTCTGCACCTGTATCAGGCACAAAAAAACAAACCAAAAGAGGACACCTCGTGTCATTCAAATGTACTGGATTGGAAATATATCCTATTCTGCTGCAAAAATATTCACACAGATAATGAAGAGAGAAATGTTTCTTGTTACCATAGCAATAGACTTTCCACTGCCACTAATACTGAATGTGGCAAAAAACGTAATGAGAGGAAGATCAAATTAGCCTCGGAGTGGAACAAGGCCAATATCTGAATTTCATGCTGACATGAATGAGTAATCGAGAAGTATATTACCCACCAAAACCTCACCTTTGTAAATGAGACTTTACTCTGTCAAACAAACGAGACAAAATAAATTAATATTAGCTCAACCGACACAACTGCAATGCAGATCTATAGGTTCACTCAGAATAGTAGCTACAGCTCTATGCTGACCAACAGTTGTTCTATAATGAGCACTGCATAAGTACTTTGGAACATTCTAATGTCAATTCAACTTTTAAAAGGAAGGTGAAAACACAACAAAATATTTTTCTGTGAATGTCAGAGGCTGTGCATCCCATCCAACTACAGGATTAGTGCTGTCAAACGATTAATCACAATTAATCGCATCCAAAATAAAAGTTTTTGTTTACATAATATATGTATGTGTACTGTGTATATTTATTATGTATATATAAATAAACACACATATATTTTGAAAATGTTTACATGTATATACATTTATATTCTTATATTTTATACTATATATAAATATATTTAATATATAAACATAACATATTTTTCTTAAATATATACATGCATGTGTTTGTATTTATATATACATAATAAATATACACAGTATACACATATATTATGTAAACATTAACTTTTATTTAGTATGCTATTAAGCGTGATTAATCGTTTGACAGCACTAACATATATATATATAAATAAATAAATGATTTTAATTATAGTTTTTGTTTAATATTTTATTTTATATAATATTATATAATATTTTATTTATTCTATAAACAGGTTTCTTACCCTGTTAATGAACCACTGTTTTAGGAAAGACATGAAAGGCATTAAAGACATTTAAACTTCAAACCGTAGCTTCTGGCCAAAATACCATTCCATAATTAATATGAACGCTTCCTCCAGTGAAAAAGTCCACCCCCCTGTCATCCTCTCACATCAAAATCCACCAACATATTTGTTTAGAAATGTTTTGGACTGTTTTTTGGTTGTAAATGGTGCTTGATCTGTGCATATTTCTCTCCTAAATCAGACAAGACGACTTTTTGAATGGAGAAATCAATATTATGGATAGAGGACTTTCAGCCGGAAGCAACAGTTTAAAGTTAAACTTAATGATAAATTAATTAGCTTTTCATTTAACAAGATGTTAACTGATACACGGAACGGAGTGGATTATTGTGATGTTTTTATCAGCTATTTGAACTCTCATTCTGATGGCACCCATTCACTGCAGAGGATCCATTGGTGAACAAGTGATGTAATGCTAAATTTCTCCAAATCTGTTCTGCTAAAGAAACAAACTAATCTATATCTTGGATGGCCTGAGGGTGAGTAAATCTTCAGAAATGTTTTATTTATGGGTGAACTACATCAGGACAAGCCACTATCAAATATTTTAGAATATTTTAGTGCGGGTGCAGGTAATTTCCTAAAAGAGGGGTTTTTCTAAAGGCTTTAAAGGGGTCATATGATGCGATTTCAAGTTTTCCTTCCTCTTTGGAGTGTTACAAGCTCTTGGTGCATAAAGAAGATCTGTAAAGTTGCAAAGACTAAAGTCTCAAATCCAAAGAGATATTCTTTATAAAAGTTAAGAGTCAGCCACGCCTACCTAAAACGCCTCGTTCTAACACGCCCCCACATGTCTACGTCACTATGTGGAAATATTAGCATAATGCCGCATTTTTTGAACATTAAAGCATGTCAACATATTCTGTTACACCAAATACACAAAATAATGATCTTTAAAATAGCATCATATGACCCCTTTAAGGATGTTTTTAAGGATGTCTCAAGGATGTAAGAACTTGTGTCAGAAATAGTGGACAACAAAACAGTAATCAGAGTTGGATACTTATGGAGGCTTATGGCTCATGACAGTCTGCTGTTTCCTGCTGAGACCCTAATATTTAAGTGTTGCATTCGTTATGACAAAAGTAAAAGGAAAGTAAAATGGAACAGAGAGGCTGTCCATCATTGAGCAATTACAAAGGTCTGTAACACACAGTGAATGCCAATAAACTGTTTTCTGACATGGGCTGACCTCAGCATCTTGAGTCTGACTTGACTGATATGTGCCAGAGCTCTAAAGTCTGAGGGATGATGGAAAACTCTTGCAATAAAACACAGAACTGTAACCTCATGCTGCCTGCACATTGCACATCAACTCCTTGCACATTGCATTGTGTCTATATCAGTGATTCTCAGCTTGTGGGTTGTGATCCAAAAACGTGTGGTAGTTCTGTTCACTTAGGGTCACAGACAGGAGGAAAAAACAATACTAAATGCAAATAAAACTGCAAATAACTGTAAAATTGTACTTAGACAAGAAAAATATGACTATGCCTTTAATCAATAACCTTTTATAGTAAGGGCAAGACATTTGTTTGTTTTGTTTTTGATGTCAAAGGCTGTGTATCCAGTCAAATACTATGGCATTTTGGTGCAAATTCATCAAACAAATCTAGAATCAGCCAAATTAGACGATGCAAACATGGATGGGTTGTGTGACAAAAAAATGATTCTCAAAAATCATAAACAAAACTATGCAAGCCAAAACTAATTTTTGGCTTTCTCATTTTTCATTCTAGAAATGTTTTAGAATGTTAGAAATTATATTAATTAATTATATTAGCGTTAGGGGAATGTTTGGTTTGCTGTGTAAATAGGTTCACATGCAACGTTTCGATGGTGCCAGAATGTTTCCTGCATGGTATATTATTGTCTGAATGTTGAATTATATACTGAATGTTAAAATGATTAATTTGAATAAATATTAATATAAAATATTCAGTGAAAATCTGGGTCAAGAAGCAAAACCAGTTGAGAGCCTACTTATGATGAACATCTCTATGAGTACAGTGTTAAACAAGCAATAGAATAGTACAGACAAGAGAATGGCAGCAATTTTGCATCTGATTTTGCATCTGTACCAGAACGAGAAGCAGCTGTTCTTATAATATGATGAGCCTCACTTCAACTTCTACCTATATCTATGGCGCCTTGATCAGTTACAATGCGTAAAACTCCCAGGTACAATTTTTTTATGACATGAACATCAGGAGTGTGTAGCACCCCCTCTTTTTTAAACGTGTATTCAAATGCACCTCTTTATAATTCTGTTTGGTAAGAAAGGGTCTGTGAAAGTGTATTTTTCTCCTACATTGGTATTGACTATTTTTGTGACTTTAATAATATTAATGAAAATGATACATAAAATCCTGTATAAGATAAAGTAACATGTTTATGGATTGGTCTCAGTGAAGTAGTACTTATTGATGGCGCTGTGGGAGTACATAAGACAAAAACAGTAGGGAAACAATGTGCTCAAGGTCATATGTAAGAACTGAAAGCCAGTCAGTTCTTGATTATTTATATATTATTAAATGTGAAGTAGAGTGCAGCAGAGTAACCTGATTACACAGCACACTACATCAATCTGAATTGCAGAATTGTTTTGGTTTTGAGCTCACTGAAAGGATACTGCCTTCTTTGCTTGTCTCCTGCATGCTCTCCATTCCTGGAAGGGCAGCTGCCACACGTCGAAACAGCTGCAGGAGAGAAGAGAGAACGCTGTTAGAGACTTCAGCTTTCAGTAACCTGAAAACTTCATACAAAAATGTCGTCTGTTAAGTCAGTGGATAGTGAGGAATGCTCTGCAACCATTTTATTAGTCGTTTTAAAAGGAATCTATGCAACTGGGCGAAGTATTGGACATGAGGGCTAAAAACTTCCCCACACAAATTGTGTAACAGGTTCAGTTGGTCACGGGAATTTGCTGCGTTGACCAAAAGAACACTGCTTGCTTTATAATAGAGTTGGGAGAAAAAAGATTCTCTCTTCAACGATTCAGAATCGATTCTGAGCTTTTTTTTTCTGCATATGCATGATTGTGCGTGCTAGAGACAAGTCATATTCTTCTTGCTGCCAATTACAGACAAACAAATGCACTTTATTAGGTACACCTGTTCAGCTGCTCATTAATGCAAATATCTAATCAGCGAATTACATGGCAGCATTTAGGAATGTAGACATAGTCATGACAATCTGTTGAAGTTCAAACCAAGCATCAGAATGGGGAAGAAATGTGATATAAGTGACTATGAATGTGGCATAGTTAATAGCTATTTTTCCATCACCCTGTTTTTATGTGCATTTTGAAGAATCACATCAGAAACAAGTGATGGGAATGCCAAATTTTGGAGAAAAAAAGATTGCGAACCAATCTTGTTGCACAGCATCTGAAATGCTGTTATAGTCATTCTTAAATGCCAGGGCAAAGTCTGTTGTCAAAGTATTTCTGTATAATTGCCTCCCAGAACTGTCTTACATGAATGACTGCGATCCCAAACAGCAGGCATCCACCTCTGAAAGCAATGACTGCATTTATTCCATTTCATCTGCTCACTCTGAGGAACAAGTAATTTATTATATATGAAAATTATTATATTCAGTGGCTTCTCCTACTTTTCTTAGTGATATTTAGTGCTAGTTTATCAGTAAGTGACAATTTTGTTCTCTTTACTTGTTGGATGGAAACGGTGCTTATTCGCTAATGCTTTATGCGATATTCCAATTTTGCGCATAAGTTACATTTGCAAATTTGAAACCCAGCTTTGTTATTAGGGCTGGTCTGAGTCTTTCACAAACTGCTGATCTACTGGGATTTTCACACACAACCATCTCTAGGTTTCTGTGGGCAAAATGCCTTATTGATGCCAGAGGTCAGGGGAGAATGACCAGACTGGTTCGAGCTGATAGAAAGACAACCGTAATTTAAATAACCACTCGCTACAACCGAGGTATGCAGAAGAGCATTTCTAAATGCACAACATGCTTAACTTTTAAGCACGTGGGCTACAGCAGCAGAAGACCATACGGGGTGCTAGTCCTGTTAGCTAAGACCAGGAAAGTAAGGCTACAATTCGAACTGCCTCATCAAAATTGGACAATAGAAGATTGGAAAAAGGTTGGCTGGTCTGAGGAGTCTCAATTTCTGCTGCGACAATCGGATGGTAGGGTCAGAATTTGGAGTTAATAACATGAAAGTATGGATTCATCCTGCCTTTCTCACTCCGCGTCTCCACGCAGGCGCACAGCAGTGTAGCACGATCTGAACATGCACATCACAGACAGGCAAAGAGCCTCCCTCCCTTTCCAGTTGTGTTTGTCTTGGTGTGGAGGTGAGTGGTGATGAACAAAAGACTAAGCTACCTGTGCCTCGAATTTACAGTTAATTATCCTCGAGTGATATTGCTCATATATCATTCCATATAGTTAATCAGTATCACGTGAAGACTGACGTTTTTTCCACCAAGAAGCAGCATGATTACAATTGTGATACTGATTTTATACAGCAGTTCAATAAACAAGAATTTAATATTAAGACATTTACATTTTAGACACAATATTGCCTGTTTTTGCTGTATTTCGCCAACAAATATAATTCCAATTTGTGTCTCTACATGATGCTGTTTCGTTCCTGAATGAATCAACTGTTTAAATGATTCGGTTCAATCGCAATGACTCACTTATTAACAGTGACTTGCTGCCACCTGCTGGCGGCAGTAATTTCACATTTAAAGTATCTTTTCATTTTTTTTTATTTCAAATATCAGTATTCAATGTTTATATCAAAACAGTATTAATGCATTTGTAACTGTAGGTTAAATACATTCATGTCCTGCATTAAACAGTGTGTAAATGCATCTAAATGCCACTTCTAATGCAGCTTCTGTGTTTTCTTTGCATTGCAAAAATGAATTTTGTCAATACTGATTTCATTTGCTTGGTAACAGCCCAAATGACTTATTCTAACTGACTGATTCAATTTAAGAATTTGACTGAAAAGATGATGCACACTTTAAATAAATGGCTCTATGAAGGTAAAAATGCCCATAAAAGGTACAAATCAATTTAAACTTATTGGAAAATATTAATTTCTATCACTGCTGTGAACTGATCACCACACAGAATATGAAGAATATCAAAAATTTTAGGAGTCAGCTGTCCACGGCAGTCCTTAAGATACCAGCACAATAACACACTCAGCAAAATATCATCTAATTATCATTATCGATAAAATCCCAGAAAATATTGATATATTTTTGTCAATATCGCACACCCTTAATATATTTAACGTTTTGTTTAGATAATTTTGCCCTAAAAGTGCCCTTTTTTCCACTTGAGCCCCTGCCCCTAAAAATGTCTGTGCACGTCCCTGTATCCATCCATTTATGACCACAGTGTAATGTCTATCTTGTAATGGCTACTTCCAGCAGGATAATGTGCCATGTCACAAAGCTCAAATCCTCTCAAACTGTTTTTTTTAACCATGACAACGAGTTCACTATACCATACTCCACAGTCATCAGATCTCAACTGATACAGAGCACCTTTGGGATGTGATGGAACAGGAGATTCACATCATGGTTGTGCAACCGAAATATCTGCAGCAACTGTGTTATGCATGGATCAAAATCTCTGAGGAATGTTTCCAGCACCTTATTGAATCTATGCCACAAAGAATTAAGGCAGTTCTGAAGGCAAAAGGTGGTTCAACCTGGTACTAGCAAGGTGTATCTAAAAAAAGTGGCCGGTGAGTGTATACAGACTTTCATAAGGTTTCAAGGTTGAAGTGGGCTTTGTTTGACAATGTGTAGTTTCACCCACCACTCCGTGAAGGCATCATTATGCTGTTTAGAATGCAGTATACACTCTTAAAGGGGTGGTAAATCAGATATTTTTGAAGGCTTGATTGTGTTTATGGGGTGCACTCTAACATGTGTTCATGCTTCGTATGTAAAAAAAAAAAATTGTTTTCACATATTTGACCTTTATTCTACACCGCTGTTTCCGTTCTCCTAAAAACGGAAGATGCATGTGCTCCGGTGTATGGTAAACAATGGCGTCAATATTGCCTTATCAATTTGAGTCAGAATCAGACCCAGAGAATATTAGTGAAGAGGATCGAGCAGAACCTGTGCAAGCACAGATCTTACAGGACGTTTCAGAATGGTATGTTTTTTTGTTGTTAGTTGTCTTATACTTTGTAGATACACTGTTATTTGCAAATGCTACTGCTGTTTCTGTTAGCTTTTTATATCCATTTTTATCCTTATTAAAGCTTTAGTACAGCAGAATACAAGATTGCGTTGTAGTATTTTTGTAGAGTAATAGTTTAATTTATAACGGTAACACTCTACTACAACAACGGGAAGAAGCTTGTTATGGTCCATACAAGCCGTGTTTTGTAGGCCTTAAAAAGCGAATTCTGTAAAATAAAACATCTCCCTTTGCATTGAACTTTGAGCGTCGTAACTTTGCAAATGTTGTTAAAACATTTAAAGTAAAGTAAGTAAAGTAAAAAAAACATTACTTTAGTTTACACTAAGTAAAAAAAAAAAAAAAGAAGAAGTGAAATCATAATCAACCACCCCTTCTCTAACATGTGTTCATGCTTCGTATGTAAAAAAAAAAAATTGTTTTCACATATTTGACCTTTATTCTACACCGCTGTTTCCGTTCTCCTAAAAACGGAAGATGCATGTGCTCCGGTGTATGGTAAACAATGGCGTCAATATTGCCTTATCAATTTGAGTCAGAATCAGACCCAGAGAATATTAGTGAAGAGGATCGAGCAGAACCTGTGCAAGCACAGATCTTACAGGACGTTTCAGAATGGTATGTTTTTTTGTTGTTAGTTGTCTTATACTTTGTAGATACACTGTTATTTGCAAATGCTACTGCTGTTTCTGTTAGCTTTTTATATCCATTTTTATCCTTATTAAAGCTTTAGTACAGCAGAATACAAGATTGCGTTGTAGTATTTTTGTAGAGTAATAGTTTAATTTATAACGGTAACACTCTACTACAACAACGGGAAGAAGCTTGTTATGGTCCATACAAGCCGTGTTTTGTAGGCCTTAAAAAGCGAATTCTGTAAAATAAAACATCTCCCTTTGCATTGAACTTTGAGCGTCGTAACTTTGCAAATGTTGTTAAAACATTTAAAGTAAAGAAAGTAAAGTAAAAAAAACATTACTTTAGTTTACACTAAGTAAAAAAAAAAAAAAAAGAAGAAGTGAAATCATAATCAACCACCCCTTTAAAAATAAAGGTTCCTAAAGTGGGTTTACACAGTGATTCCATAGAACAAGCATTTTTGGTTTCCCAAAGAACTTTTTAATGAACAGTTCTTAAAAGAACCATTTTTTTTCCATTTTAATAATCAGAACCCTTTTCCACTGTAAAGAAAAACCTTTTGTGTAATGGAAAGATTCCATGGATGTTAAAAAGGTTCTTAATGGAACCATTGAGGCCAATAAAGAACCTTTATTTTTAAGAGTATATAGTAATGTAAGTTATGTGTTAATGACAGGACAAATCATCAGATATGTTAAAATAGATATGTTTCCCTTTATTACTTTTTATTTGCTTGTCTGTTTTGAAGCTATAATTAGTTGAGTTCTTAACATTTAATTGCTTTGATTCATTATTAATTTGTAATTATAAAAAAAAAAAAAAAAAGTACTTATAAGTAATGTGTAAGTAAAAAAGTAATGTGACCACACCTTTAGTTATATCAGCAGTATTTCATATTTTCTTGGTTATTTCCTTTACCTGGTATACTTTGAGTCTAGCCACAGCCCTGTGTCATACTGTGCAGCCTTCTGGCAGCAAACATGAGCTGAACCATTTTTAAACCTGTAAAAAAGCGATTTGGAGCAAAGAGGACTCTCTCTGGTCCACTGAAGCAGACCTGCCCTGTTATATATAGTAATAGAAATGAAGATCCCATGCAAGTGCTTCTTTTCAGAATCATAAATGTCACAGACTAAAACACCTGCTGACCTTTAAAGCGGACTCCGTGTAGAAAATGATAAAGGGACAGCAAAAAGCACTTAGTCTGGCTCTGCCTTCTGAAACTTGCAATGCATTGCTAGCATACCGCTCCTAGCAAGGCAATTAATGGCCCACCACACACCTCCATTACAGCCATCCTCTATAAAGGGCTGTTCCCAGAAGCTATATGAGGCTATACTGCAATGATATATAGCCCTACTCACTCCCAATCATATCAAACAGGGCAGTGAGCTTATGTAGCCAACACCACCCACCCCTCTCATTTCATGCCATCAATCACAATGGACTAGCCACAGGGAAATGGGACACACAGGAACATTAAGCAGAGAGGGTCAGAAAGAGACTCATTTTGTTAACTACCTTCAGGTCATTGTTTTTGACAGGAAAGAGAGAGAGAGCCATAATTTAGCTGGGACAAAAACAAAAGAACACAAAACCATTTCAATTAAGAAAAACAGACAGGCCCTGTTCCAAATAGAGCACTTAATGTTGACTTGCGGCCTTTGATTTCATGTGTCCATACTGTCACGGTGCACACACACACACGAGGAACTAGGAGACGCTGGAGAATACTTTACCAAGACTTTATTTTCAGGAAGCAAGGGAGACGAACTCAGGAAGACATTTAACAGCAGACAAAGAACTTGGGACTGGGAACACTTTTTATACACACAGGAGGAGGGGATGACGAGACACACCTGGGAGCAATGAAACATCAAGGGAAACACCTGGGACAAATGAACTTAACTAATCAGGGGAGGAACAAGAAACTAACCAAATAAGGGCATGGGAAGGCACATGGGGAGCAGGACACACACAAAACATGGAACAGAGTCTGACACATAACATGTCACATTTGTCATTTTACAAATCAGAAGGGTGAGGATGAGTACTCGCTTTGCTGAGTAACTGTGTAAGTGTTAGCTAACATATTTATCTACAACAACAACATTCATTTTTCAGTCTCTTTTTAGTTCCCTGTTCTTAGCAATGTTTTTGTTTGCTTAGAGATTCTAATACTAAATGGGGCACAATCCATAGAATTCCTTTGTTTTTATATATAGCTAGGTATATAACCTAACCCTAACAGAAATCTTTCTGTATTTTTACAAAAATAAAAAATGAAAAACTTTATTTACTTTATGTTTGTGCTGTATTTACAAATTATGATGTCCCCAAAATAATGTTTTGGGAGGTTTGTTTGATTTAGCTCATTTGTGGGTACAAATTTGTTCTCAAAATACGGTTAAGTAGCTACACACATACACACACACTTCACTGCATGTAAAAGAGCCACTTCATTTGTTTTAAAAATAAGACTGAGATGAAAATGCATCACTTTATTATTCTATACTAAAGTACGGACCTTTTCAAAACTGAAAATTAACAATGTTCTTGCTATTGTAACGGGGCTGACGAGACGTGAGACGTGTGGATCCATCTGCAGGCTTTATTAAAGAGACGTGGTAAACAGGCAGGGTCAAACAATGGCAAACAGGTATATGGCGGGCAAAACACAAGAATAGTCCCAGGGCTAGCGTAGGTCACCGATCGGCAGACAGAATCACAGGGGCGAGACGAGAGGGAAAAATCCACAAAAACAGGCAAAGATCAGAAACCGCGAAAACGGGCAAGGCAAGGCAAAAACAAGGAAAACTCAGAGACTCGGAATGGGGTACGGGCTAAACAATACTCAGCAGAGAAAGGTGGTTAGAGTGGGTGTTATATAGTGAGTGAGGTGATTAGAAACAGCTGTGTGCAATGAGTGCAATCAGTGCAGTGTGCAAATCGTGCAAAGAATGATGGGATATGTAGTCCGGGGTGCTATGCAACAGTTTGTGTTGTGCGAGAGTCAATGTAATGGAAAGGGTGACCTCTGGTGGTGAATAAACGGAAGTCCATGGACCGAATTCGTGACAGCTATGCATTTATAATGAAACTTCATATTATTACAAATTATAGCAATGAAACACTGCTATACAACAAATGACTCTATTATTTTTATTATTATCAAAACTTGTTGAGCATTGTATTATTTACACAAGAGTTCAGTTTCATCCTGGAAAGGATCTGACACCCTGCAATTCTTCAATCAATATTTGAGTCATCATTTTGCAATTACCTCTGTGAGGTAATCAGTTTAACTAATGTTGCTGTTATTGGAGAAATAAATAAGAACATTTCGGTATTGATTGTAATCTCAGATGAATGTGGTTCCCTGCTCCAGACAACACAGAATCAAACGTGCATGCTCCAGTCAGTTGGAAATTACCTCGATTTGTAATGAAAACTGGAACAAGTCAGCTCCACGTCTTGTGACAATAATATGTTGTGTCAGAGATTTAGTGTATTTTAGTGTTGTACTGTCAGTGCTCCTGTGAAACAGTGATACATGACTTTGAGAAGAATAAAGTCTTAGTGTTCAGTACAGCTGATGGAACAATGCACAATAACACAGCTCATTCTTACATTTGAAGAATGACAGTACTACATAGATTTGGCCTCAAGTTTCAAACTGTAATTGCAAAATGGAGAGACTCTAAATTCTAATTTGAAGACTGCACATTTCATATTAATGCACAATATTAATACAGTTCAATATTAGGATAATGAATTATATTACTTGGTGAAAGAATTCTTTCAATATCAAATATTTGTAATTATAAACAATTATTGAACACTTATATCTATTATCAAAATAAAGGGGTTTTCAGACTGTCGTCCAGAGACCCCCAGGGGGGCACAAGAGGGTGCTTTGTGGTGCATGGAAAAAATGTCAAGCTTTTACCATTTAGTATTTTAAATATTTACTGAAATATGTTTTAAATTACATATTTCTTTAGATGTATTTTTTGTAAAAACCTTTTTCTCCCAAAAATATTTAAGTATTTTTATCATTTACTGACATTTAATACAATAATTGTATAATTTTAAATATTTACTGAATTTGCTAATTTGAGTATTTTTTTATAATACTAATGTCAAACATCCCTTATATGCACTAAAATTCTAAAATTACTATTACTTCAATACAGTGAACTGTAACACACTGTGTGTTTTAAAGATTTTTGAAATCAAAAAGCTCATAAAATTAAACTTTTTCAAGACCTTCAAGAAATGTTGACTATTTTATAACATCACATCTCTATCTACAAGTCCAACTCTCTAACCATTAGGCCACGACTGCTATTGTATTTGACTAATTACACAACCCTTAACTCAAAGAAAGCAAAGCTTAGTCAGACAGAACGACTGAACGACTGGCACATTCTGTGATCCAGTCAGACAGAGCTGACACTAACATACACAAACACACACACACTTTAGCCCACACAACACACACTGTGTGCTGTACGTACTTCCGGCTCTCAGAGAGAGAAAAAACACAGCAGTGCTGCGCATCACATCTGATCTCTCCCACCTTGGTGCTTAGTCATCCTGAATCATGCTTTCAACTGCACCTCAGAAGAAAAATCAGAACAAATGCAGAGTGTTTCTCACAGCCACATGCTGTGGCCACTCTTTCCACTGACAGTGTTGAGGTAAAACTCACCTGTTTGACGTTGTAGCCTGTCTTGGCACTGGTTTCGATAAACATCACACTCAGCTCCTTGGCCCGCTGCTCACCTTCCTCAATCGTGATTTGCCTGTGAAAAGGTTGAAGATTTTTATTCATTAGTTTATTTATAAAATATTACTGAACTATGATGACACCTGCTGAGAAACCATGAATTTACAATTTGGTTTAGTGCTGGTCTGGATACTGGACCAGCACAGCCATGCTGATCATTAACCAAAAATATTGCTGGTTGATACTGCTGGTTAAGGGACCAAGGTTTTGCTGGTTAGCATGGTCCAGTAAGCTCCTGCTGGCAACTACATTATTTTGCACAGCACACAACACAACACAACACAACAAAACCTCTTGTTGGCTCGTTCACCAATTGCTTTTCAAACTTGCTCTGAATAAAACTGTAAAAACATAAATGTAAATGTAAAGGTAAAGAAAAAAAAATCTCATTTTATGGTCATTCATAAATAGCCAGCCATTCTGACACAAGTATTTATTTATTTGTAAGTAACATATAAAATATTATATATTTTTTTCCCATCCAGTAGATGTATGAGGGAATAAGACATTTATTGAGATTTACTTGTTTGGGCTTGTTTTAATGCTTGTTTTGCCTTACTTTGTATATTACATTCACCTTATTTATTACACTGATGTCCCCTTGAATGTTTGCCGAGTCCCCCTAGTGGAACCCCGGCCCCCTGGTTGAGAACCACTGTAATATAGTATGTTTTAAAAGAGATACATATTTGGGGATTTTATATCAGATTTTGTGCACCAGCTGAGCAACAGATTCATTAAGATGAATGGGAATGGGCTGAAGTATACTTTCTCCAGACCTCCTTGGTCAAGACACCAGTACACCAGCATCAAAAACACAACACAGGCAGGAGGGAATCCATGAAGAATAATGGCAAAGAGAGGCCACATTACCAGGACAACACATAAAGCAAATAATCATTCTGCCAGTAATGGCAACCACTATCACGAAACTGCCCAGCCTTGACAGGAGCCCTACAAGATTTATGAAAACCGCAATAATGGAAATGTGGTATTTGATAAAGTGGTTAGTGGGTCACAGATTATGGGTAAAGTATTATCAGACAGCACAGGCTGAGACTGAGACAACGGCGTCAGTCATTGCCTCCCTCCCCTCATCTCTACTAACTCTAATTAATTGATGTTGAAACTGATTAATTGCACAAAGGGAAGGCTCATTAATTAAGCCTCATTTGTATGACACACTTGTGATATTGTGAGCATGTTTATGTGTGTACGTGACGGAGTTTGCGAGGTGGCTGAGAGAAATGAGTAGGCTGAAGAGGAGACCAGCTGTATCTCAGAGCAGAGGGACGTGAATAGGACATGCTGTATTTAAACCACTGAGCTCTGTCTGCCGGGACAGCTGTGATGTAACCATTTTTTGTTCACTTTTGTTCTCTCCACAGACAGGAGCTCAGAGGCATTTGTGAGTTTACTTAACTCATGAATTGCATTCTTGGCTCGCTGCTTCTCAAATTATACAGCTCATTCTCTGTAAATGGTGCCAACTGTGCCCCCAAGACTTGCTATTGATATAATTACAGTGATACTGAACTTAATTACATTATTTAATTGAAATTCACTCTAAATAGAATTATATCAAAGTATGGGTAAATTATAAAACTAAAATGTTGTAAATATTTTCCATCTTATCATTAGCATCACTGACCAACATTACATTTTAATTGGTAAAGAAAGAAAAAACAGGCAAACCAAAGTGTATTCAGACACCTTCAGACACATTATCACAGTTTATTCGCTATAGTTTAGAAAATGGTAATAAAATATGACAAGAACTCAGAATTAAACTGTCAGAACAAATTCATCTTGATAATGTCAGATAACACTTAAGCAAAACATGGGCAGGTCCAAGTGTCTGAATAATTTTTGGTGGAACATTGGTCCCAAATGTTTATCAATTTTACTGGTAGTCCACTGTATGAAGATTTTTTGGGTATAATGTCACAGTTTACTTTATTTTGCTATCCTCACTTACATAAATTAACTATAGTGTCCTGCACGCACTAGTAAAAAAATATGAAAAAATTATATCTGGTGTCTGAATCATTTTTGGTTTGACTGTATATATATTAATTATGGATGAAACGGTATGAAAATTTCTTATCACGATTATAGTGACCAAAATTATCATGAGTATTATCACAATATTGTTTTACTACTTACACAATTATTTTAAGGATGACCTGACACTGAAGTCTATCTCTGGCTGATGAATGTGCTTTTGAAGTCCCTCAGTAGCCACAAACTAAATATTTTGATATTCACAAAAAGAAAGATGGGATTAAGAAGAGGATGTGTAGCTCAAGTTATAAATGTTGATGGAGCAGAATGTCCTGTCAGCCTAAATTTCCTGCCAGGTCTGCTGAATCTTTCGGTCATAAATGTTTTATCCGGCGCTATCTTAGGCTCACAGAAACGGCACATACGTATTTAGCATGCATGTGTAACTGAGTTCATATCTGACTATATTCAAAAAGTTGTTGTGATTACATTCAGGAGTTTTAAAGTCCTTTCAGCACTCACTTCTTCACAAACTGTTTTATCACTAACTCTAAAATGGCAAAAAATCATTCAGCACTGCTCTTTGTACATATGGTACATCTTGACCTTGAAATAGTTGATTAATGTGCTGCAGGCTGTCAACCTGTGCTTTTCCACACAACACATTTTCTTTTTTCAAGTGGACAGTAAATTGATTGTGTTTGACGCTTTAGATTGATGTATACAGTACTAGGTTGGGCTGAACGTGTCTCTTTTCGTTTGGTATTGGCTCAAGGGTAGGTAATCTCAGCTGACATCAAGTAGTGTGTCTGGAAGAGTGCGGTGCCATCTGTTCCTCTGAGAGAACAAACATCCTCTGGACAGAAATTCATGCATTACACCCACACTGACTTTATATCTGTTATTCCAATAATATTACAGTATAAGACGTTACTTTCTTCACCAACTGAGAAAATTCAACCCGCCACAGGAGCTGCTGAAACAGTTCTACTCGGCCATCATTGAGTCCGTCCTGTGTTCATCCATAACTGTCTGGTTTGGTTCAGCTACCAAATCAGATGTCAAGAGACTACAACATACAGTCAGGATCTTTACACCTCCAGAGTGAGCAAAAGGGCTAAGAAAATCACTTTTGACCCCACACACCTTAGCCCACTCTCTCTTTCAACTGCTGCCCTCTAGTCGGCAGTCAGGCACAAGAACAGGTTTTTTTCCCACAGGGTAGATTCAGCCTGAACAATTCTGAACAATATTTCATCTCTACTTTGTAATTCCTATGTATGTTTGCACTATGTCTGTACTTTCTTCTGCACTGGAAGCTCCTGTGGCCAAGACAAATTCCTTGTGTGTGTAAACATACTTGGCAATAAAGCTCTTTCTGACTTCTAGCATTTGTATGCATATGTGTGCATATATTGTATGTATTTTAAAAATTCTATAAATGATATAAACACACATATCGCAGCAAATGTTCTGACAGGTTGCTCATTCCTGACTTATTACTGGATGCCATGGCAACAGTCTGACCCAAGGTTTTTAATATCTTTCCTGTGCACAGAGACACCCACTACACTGTGACAGAGGATCCGCCTCCAATCATATAACTGCCGCCTCAGTCGTCCAAAGTGTGATTGCAGATTCAGAGTCACAACAGGAGCAGTTGACAAAGATAATTTATAGAACACTACAAATACCATATGATGAGGTGCACGTGAAGTTACCAGCCCATTCCATAAAGGCAGTAGTACAGTATGTTTAATGTCATAGCGTTCATATTTAATGGAACTAATGTCCAAGATGCCAGGCCCTGCTTAACCTTTCACTTCCTCTGGGACAATAACTACATGGCACTTTCCGCCATGCCACAAACACTTTAATCCTCCCCAGGGCATCGTGCCATCGTTATACAAATCCCAGTGTCGGTCTTCTTTCACAACAACTAATTCAGTGTCATCTACTGGTCTAAAGCCAGTCTTATCTATTGCTGTGAAACAGCCTAAATCTAGTCTCCTTTGGCAGTCAATATTGTTACAGTTATTGTCTAACATCATGAGACAGTCTAATCGCACAGCTTTATGGTGTGATGTGAATTTATCAGTGTCATTGATTTGTTATCATTTACTTACTTTTGGATTCAGAAGACTTGGAAATCAGGTTTATATTACAGTAATGTTCAGAAATTTAGGGTCTGCAAAATGTTTTAATGTTTTTGAAATCTCTTATGTTATCTGTGTGTCAAGTCTCTTGTGTGATCAAAAATACAGTAAGACAGTAATAAAGCACTTCAGAAATAGTTGAAATTGCATTTATCAGGACTTATGGGATCTTATAAAAACAATCCAAATTGCAAACTAAATCCAAGCTTGGGTATTTTATATCATTTCGAAATGAGTGTGCGAACCCACAACATCATCCCCAAACGTATCATGCGTATCACTAACTGGCAGTATGCCTTCACTGGCCTTTGAAAGGGTAATTTATATTATCATACCACTAATATATTTTCCATAGTATCTACACTTACACTAAACAAAAACAGCGTTTCCAAAAACCTATCACTGTTGACCAGTGTTTAATTAATGCATATTCATATTTATTTTAGAACTACAGTAACAACATCTGATTTCTCTCAGCATGGGGACAGGAGAGCTGTCAATCAATAAATTGGAAAAAAAAGTAACTTGCGTTACTTATTTGAAAAAGTAACTCAGATATTCTCTTGTAAATTAAAAAGTAATGCATTACTTTACTAGTTACTTGAAAAAAGCAATCTGATTACGTAACTCGCGTTACTTGTAATGCGTTACCCCCAACACTGCTGTTGACTGTCTGGCCTGGGCATATGAACGTAGTTAGTCTGTAAATATGCACATATTGTGTTACACAGACGGACGTTTGTGCTGCATGATATAAACAAAGTAATATAATTCACTGCTGTATAACAGTGTATTGCAGTTATAATTCAATATTTTAGCAATTCAGTTGAAGTAACTTTAGGTTACATTGAAGTACTATTTCAGAAACAGAAAATATGTAAATGAGAACTGCTTTATTGGGCATTTAGTTGAATAAAAATGCAGTAGGCCTACTGTATGTAACAGTTCAGAGAGTAAACGCAAGTACAACTTGATGACATCATGAATATGATCATTAGCATATATAAAGTTGGATTGTTATATAAAGTTATAAGCATGTTTATTAAAAGCAAGCTTTGTAATAACAATCATTTAGGACCTTTTGATGTTGATGAGAATTCAGATTCATACCTTTGAATGTAAACTTTGAGAACCCCTGGTATAGACTGAGATGTAATGAACTGTGAACTGTCAACAGTGATAAGGTATAGCTAAGAATGGTTCAGACCAACCTTATACAAAAGTATGACTTACAGAAGGTATACTTAGGTAACTAAGAAAGGGGACACAACACACACAGTTTCTGCCAATCTAATGTTAATCTTGAGTACCTATAGAGTAGTACTGCATCCTTCATATCTCCGAAGAGTCTTTAGTTTTATCAAATTTATAAAAGAAAGATACAGCTTTATGCCTCTCTCCGAAAACAGCCGAGCTGTTTAAAGTCTATGGAAGGACTAAGTCTTGCAGTTTTTTTTTTTTTTAAATATGAGCACAAATGCCACCTTTGAAACAAATGAACCTAATTCTTGATAGGCAGTTTACAAAATGAACTAAATATCCAGGCTGAGATAACGAGAGTCGATGGGTGTTTCATGTTATCACAGAGCTAAGTGCCTCCATTATCAGCCTGTTCCTCTGTTCCTGAGCCACCTCCACCTGCCACATTCCACCACAGCTGTCAGGGAAACAAATCCTGAATAATGCTCATATTTAAACATGTTACAATAGAAAGAGTTCAGCTCTATCTCAGCATGTGGTATTGATCACCATGGTGATTTATTACAAACAATCAAGTTTCCTTCAAAAACTTATTTCCTGCTAAGTGTCATGTTAATTCGCTGAACTCATGAACAGAAATATATTGTGAAACATATGCATAACAAAGTGAAATATTTAAACTTTAAATAAATCCACTCTACTTCATGCATTATTATGCAAATTTATCATATGATAACAGATGCAATTAGATTAGATTCAACTTTAAGCACATATACATTACAGTACATTACAGTAAAATGCAATAATATACCAAATTTTATTTATACACCAAATCTGCATATTAGAATAATTTCTGAAGGAGTGACCTGAAGACTGTAGTAATGGCTTCTGATAATTCAGCTTTGCCATCACAGGAATAAATTACATTTTAAAATATATTAAAATAGAATTTTAAATTGTAATATTCACAATATTACTGTTTCAAATAAAGGCAGAAGAGACTTTTACCGATGCCAAATATTTGTTGGTAGTGTATAATTAATTTATATGCAAGCAATAAATATAGTCTCCTCAAAAGTATTTGTACACCTGTGGACTCGTAAGCTAAACTTAAAATGTACAAAATTCATTGCATTGGATAAAATATCAAGCCAAATGGTCTCTGCAAACAGATCAAACAATCAAGTTGTCAGTTTTCTCGCCATATTTAATTGTAATAACTGCTCTTGCTTCTAATAATCTGTTCTGTTTCTAAAAATTGTTCTGTTGTTTCAAAGTCTCCTAAAACTGAGAGCTGTGAATTAGTATGGATAACCTGGTCTTTGCTCAGGAGGCGCAATGGAGGATGAAAACTATCGAGGCAAGTTATTACTGAAGAAAAGAGAGGAAAACATTGACCTCCCTCTGGGACACACAGAGAGAGAAAGAGAGAGAGAGGAAAATGACAAAAGAGAGAAAGACTGAGCTGTATTTATCCCTGAGCTCCCACATCTCTGTAAGACTGAGTAAGTGAAGCATGAAATGCCCATTTCATACAAAAGTTTAATTTGTTTGATGGCACGTTTCTCTGATCTGTCTACAGTGAAACATTTGACATTGAAATTTCATATTTATAAAAGTAATTTAATACAGATCTGCTCCCAACTGCATGCTTTTACTAATGTTAGGGCCGGTGACTATAAATTCAGGCTTTGTACTGATTAAAGCAAGACACATGGAAGTTTTAAAACAAGGGTAGACCGAGAGCAGTGTTGGGGAAGCTCCTTTGAAAGAGTAGTTTCCCAAACATTTCAAGCTACTGATAATTTAATGTAGTTATACTACAGTCAAGTTACTCATTTAAAAAAGTAATTAGTTAAACAACAATCTAGTAACAAAAACTAACTAATTACATCGAAGCTATTCAAGGGGGGAATATCTTTTTAAATATACCAAAAAAATGAATAAGCAAAAAAAAAAGGAACTGTGACATTTTTTCAGTCAGAGCAATATTTATCTGGCGTAGATTTCAAATAGGGCAACAACATTAACTTGAACATACATGATCATTTGAGGTCAGTAAGATTTTGAAATATTATTACAGTTTAAGATAACTGATTTCTATTTGAATATATTTTATAATGCAATTTATTCATATGATGGCAAAGCTGAATTGCGTGATGCATAAGAAAAATTTCTTATTATTACCAATGTTGAAAAGAGTTGTGCTACTTATTATTTTTATGAAAACTTGATACTTTTTTCAGAATACTTTCAAGATGAACAGAAAGTTCAAAAGAACAGCACTAATTTCAAACAGAAATTTGTTGTAACATTGCAAATGTCTTTACTATCACTTTTGATCAATGTAATGCATCCTTGTTGAATAGAAGTATTAATTTCTTTCCAATAAATAAAATAAAATAATAAAATCCTGCTGACCCCACACTTTTGCATGAATATATTTCCACTAAATACATCCAGAATGCCAAATTAACACTGTATAATTGAGTCAAAAACAGTGATGAACAGCAGCATTTATCTAAATCTTAAAAGGTGAGACTTAGCTGGATTGGTAAATATTTTTTGTCAACAAATTAATTTAAAGTAACCATCCAAACGAATCAATTCACTAAAAACAATTATAATTCTCAACACTACATAGATTATTACCTTGGCTCATTCGGCCATGTGTACAAATATATAACAGTAATGTAGCATTTTGCCTCACTTCATTGTAACAGGTTGGGGGAAAAAGTAGCTTGTTATTTTAAAACTTAATTGTAAGTTAATACTAAGTGTAGTTAAGCATCACTGCTTTGACCTAGTTACTCTCCAGCACTGTCAGGGAGAGTCCCTTTTAGGGCAAACCTTCTCTAAACAATGTTTTATTTTTGCATTGCTTCCTTTACCTCTTATCTTTCACACAAATATAGGGTTTGTTCTCATATTATCCATCATCCTTTATTCCCAGAAGTCTAAAGTGAGAATAAGGCTTCCTTTTCCTTTTGTTTTCAGAGAATCTCTTTAATGAAACTGTCAGCTTCAATTCACACTCTGGTGAGTGAATCAGCCTTGTTAAGCAGCTTAAAAATAAAAGCGTGCGAGAAAGATTGAGAGTGAGACAACTCGCCTCTTATCTGCCAGATCTGTTTTATTGCCCACCAGCATGATGATGACATCACTTCCTCTCTCCGTTCTCACGTCATCGATCCATTTGGAAGTTTGCTGGAATGAATTCACATCTTTATAGAGAAAAACAGAGACAGAAGGTGGTAAATACTTTGTAGGGCTAACAGTGAAATAATCTAGATTTCGGACTCTGCTATTAATATTGGCTGTTAAATGTATCCAAAATAATTTGTGCGCCACTCCGTAAAGCGAGAGAGAGGCCGACCGAGGATGGTCCATGTGTACCCAGCTGAATATTATTAAATATTGTTTTAAGATAACTTAAATTATAAGTTGTTATCATATTTTTAATGTTCCATAATTGTTAATAAATGGCAAATTAAAAACAATCTGATAATTTGCAGTTTAGGCTGGTATACTGCATTACACTGTAATGTTGAATGGCTACAATTACTACTTTTATGCCCAGAAATTTAAAAAAAAAAAAAATCTATTTAATAGAAGCATCAGAATCAGTAATTCAGGCCTTCATTCATAGTACTTAGTAAAAATATGCAATTAAATAAATATTTAAAATATTAAGTATTTCAAATACTATCTTTATGTTGTTTCCACATTTATCTGCATATTGTATGTAAAACTATTTATATTTTGACAAATTTTAATGTTAAGTGCAGTTAATTAGAGAAACCTGTGAAATCAGGTATTTATTTATTGATTGATTGATTGATTTTTAACTAATCGACAGCCATAACAGATTTTTAAGTTGTGTTGATAATATCATTACTATTTCCAGTACTTTGGAATTTTTTAATTTTTATCAGAATGTTTTAATTAGTTTTTTTTTATTAGATTTTTAAAATTAAATTTACACTGTAGTTGAGCTTATATAATTTCTTACCTTAACAAAATGCAATAAATATATTGCAGCTATTGTACATCACTGTGTGCTGTTGACATATTATTGAAATATTCAACTGACTAATAAATTAAGGTTTTATTATGGCATTATGCCTGCTCATGTGCAGCCTGACATCAGTGAACCTGCTTCTGCTTCAAGGTGAAACTGACTTTGACTGTTTTATACGGTGGCCGAGAGAGCTCAACGCACTGCAACTTAAGAAAACACATGCAAATTGAAAAAACACCAGCAAATTAAGAAAACATCTTCATCAGTTTGACAACACACGCGCTGCAAATCCTCACAACACATGCAAATGAAGAAACGCGCTGCAAGTAGCACGGACCACAACGGAAATGTTTCAAGGGGACCCAAAAAAGTGACGGACCCGGCTGGGATTTGTTTT